TTAGTTTGTAATTTCCTAGATCTTTGTTTTTCCCTTTTCTGAAGACAGAGTCAAGATGGGCTCTCCTTCAGACATCTTGCACTTCACCATTTCTCCTGGATTATTCATGGGTTCAGCCAAACCATTGATTAATTCCTTTATTACCCTAAAGTTGTGATGGCGAACTTATGGCACGCATGCCATAGGTTTGCCATCACAGCTTTAGGGTAATAAAGGAATTAATCAATGGTTTGGCTGAACCCATGAATAATCCAGGAGAAATGGTGAAGTGCAAGATGTCTGAAGGAGAGCCCATCTTGTCTCTGTCTTCAGAAAAGGGAAAAACAAAGATCTATGAAATTACAAACTAATCTTCCATTGGTATCTAGAAGATTCTCCAGAGATCAAAAAGAGAATATGGCATTCTTTGTTTAAGGGTGGCTTCTTCTTCTTCCTCCAGTGCCTGGCAGAATAGAAAGACTAGCTTACTCTTCTCAAGAGCTTCATTAAAACATCACCTTGACATGGAGAATGGTCCCTGAGACTGCGGATTTGTACGATGAATGGATGCATGCCATAACAACGTCCTTTCAGATAAAGTTGAGCAAAAACCACAGCATGACTTGCAGTCCGGCCCACTACAAGAAGATGGGAAGAAAAGAAATTATCATTTGGTTTAAAATAATGGTCCAGAATATCCGTATCTTACTATATGATCTCACTAACTATTCAATTTAATTGTTGAAGTCGTCATAAGGAAGACAAGACCCAAACACTTGAAACTGACTTGAAAAGTTCACTGCTTGGTCCTGACTGATTTTGGAATGTGTTCCACATTCCACAACAGTGATTGCACCAAGAAAGTTCTAGCCTTCACATTAAATAAAGGCTGGAAGGAAACAAAAGAATAAATGAATCTAGCAGTTCATTCCATTTAATTCCAATTCATCAGCATGCTTAGTACTTACGGTCTCCTGGCCACCATTTCATGGCAGAGAGGGTTGGTGTGTTTAGGATAAACTTCTGAGTAGCCACGTCAAATGTGGCCGTGGTCTCCAAGCCTCGAAGATTAGATCCTTTGCAACAAAAAGATAAAACAGACCATTTTCTGCATATCAGGCAACTAGCAGCAGATTGAATATTTGCTAACTATTCCCAAAAGTGCATTTTCAAAGTCCAGTTGCCTTTTGAAAAAGCACTTTTGGGACAACATGACCTGGATGACTGAGAATCTCCATAGATGTTTGCTAGCAAGATTTAGCAATCCTAGCTGGTCTTTCCTCAAGAATGAAATTTGTGCAAAGTTTCTCTTGGTGTGAGCAAATTCCAACTTTGTAAAGATCTCAGTTAAAAGTAAGGTAATATTTTAGACATACTTAATATTTCCTAACATGATTTTGGGAGTAGAGCTGACTTTGGTATAAGAACTCATTGAATGATCATCTCATTTTGTCTGGACTTCTAGTTCAATTCTTAAAACACATGCATACATACACCAATAAATATGAGGTTTCTAAAACATCTATACAAAATCATAAAATCACTGTCTGGTTGGATTTGTCTAATAGCTTACTATGACTAATTTTTCCATTCCATCCTTCAGAGATCACAGCTTTGACCTAAAGATCAGCTTCAACCTTTGTGACAAAATTAGAATCATTCTGCACCTACTCAGGGGTGTCAAACTCAAGGCTTGGGGGGCCGGATTCGTCCCACGGGATGTTTAGATATGGCCTACAGGCCTGCCCTGGAAATAGCAAAGGACTGGCCTGCAGTGCCTCTGTCAGTGAAAATGAAGCTTGGGAAAGCCACACACGGTGCTCCCTAGCTCCATTTTCACTGGCAGAGGGTTGCAGGAGCCTGTCGCAGCTGAAAACGGAGCTTGGAAGCCCGTTTTTGGTGGTAGAGTGCTTGGGCCATCCCAGGCGACCCTCACACAAGTGACATTGAATTGGCCACACCCACCCTGGCCATGTCCCCC